GGGGGCGTGCCGCACGTCTAAATTGTCCATCTTGATAAGCTCTTATTACCGTAAGTTTACAGGGTCCAGCCATGACATGTCACATAGAAATAGGTAATCGATTCTTGCTCGGGTATCATATCCTCAGATTCATTATCTATCCTCGTGTGTGACGAACGCAACAAAGCAAGCCAACTGCATAATAGCAAATTCTTTACGCCACATATTTTTGTCTAAACCGTCCTGCTCTCGTCATGTCCTCATCGATGGTCATTCGCCAGAAGTAACACAAAAAAATGACGCATTTGCCATGCATCTAGTTGCGCGGACCAAAGTCCAGCGACTTCTTCATCACCAGCGGCCCGCCGGGAATGATTGGCTCAGTCTCCTAGACTTCAGCAACAACCTCTTGGGGCACCTCTTTCATACAATCTTCCTTCTCAACCTCGACGGGAGGTACGACGATGCCGAATTTTTCGTAGGGGAAGTCAGCAAGGCTGAGCATGTACTCGGCCCAGCCATCGTCAATCTCACCAACCTGATGGAGATCGACTTCTCCAGCCTCACCAGTGCGTCCAGCGAGGACCTCAGCCTCCCGTCCATCATACTCCTTCTTCAACATCGGGTGGGGGCACCAGATCACGCGCATACCCGCACGACGACCAGCCTCGACACCGGGAACTGAATCTTCGAAAACAAGGCACTCCTCGGGGGTGATGGGGCGTTCGCCAGCAGAAAGGCTGTCGTTGATGGTCTTCAGAGCGAGAAGGAAGATGTCGGGCAGAGGCTTTCCACGGCCAGGAGTCAGACGGGAATCGTCTCCAAGAACACGGCGGTGGGACGGGAAAACAGAAAAAAGCTCCTCAAGGTGGTTTGTCTTGACACGGAAGTTCCCCAGATGAGAGCTAGTGGCTAGAGCGATGTGAACGCGTTGAGGCTCACTGCTGGACTTGTCCTTCGCTTCAGTAGTAGCACCATCCTTGACCTCCCAGTATCGGGTTCGGCCTAGGTGGCCAAGCAAGTCGACAATGCCAGGGAGAGGCTTTGTGTGTGGGAACAGCTGCTTCTGGAGCATCGTGTTCTCGGCGACGTACTCTTCGGAGGTGATGGGGAGCTGAGCCCAGTCGTGAAAGATCTTGTTGGCCTGAGGACCAGGGCGTCCCTGAAGCTTGGCCTTGATAGACCATGGGAGAGTTCCTTTGCCATACTTTTCGAGGATGATGTTGACACACTTGGTGTAGATATCTTCGGTGTCAAGAAGGAGGCCGTCCATGTCGAAAAGACAGGCACGAACAGGGGGGAACCTAGAGAGTGAGGTCTGATCAGTATTACTCTGGCGATTGAATAATCTCGAATATTTGTCAAGGAGAATAAACATACTCAGTACGAGGCGCCATTGTGTCTGGAAACCCAAGAGTGTTGCGAGTAGGAAAGCGGATGTATTGGGGTGCGGTATCAGAACGAAAAAAACACGGCGGGTCAGAACTTGTTGTAGTGAGGAGGTATGGTTAGCAAGAGAGAGGTTGAAGAAAAGAAAGATGATGCGATCTCGAGATTTCGACAACGGAATACGGACGGAACCTAACAAGCGGCGGGGCAGCTTTTTGCTCGCCGATCAGTGAATCGACAGTGAATCATACCGCTGAAAACCCCGCGGTGGGTCAGTGTATTTCCACTAAGCCCACTGTAGTCTAGCAAATGATTAAGGTGGCCAGGGCGGGCAGGAACCACATGGAATTCATTGAGGCTCATGAGATTGTGCTTTTAATGTTTCTTCATTAAACATCCATTTGTTTCTGTCTCTCAACACAACACGACTAGTCCCCGCAACTTGCAGTTGATTTTTGCATTGTTCTGGCCGATCCTTCTTGTATCAATCAGACAAATCTGTCTTTCATTCTATGGTTTTATATTTGTCGTAATAATAATACGTCATTTGTCCTTGCCAACGAATATGAGCACAACCGAGCCTAGCAAAGATGATGTGGTCAAGTCGCCGGACGTCGAAAGAGCGAAAGATAGCGCCGATTTTGCAGATGGACAGGAACTCAAGTTTCCCCCAGAAGAGGAAGAAGTGAGTGGCCTCTTGTTGTATCCCGACTTTATCCTTTGACTTTGGTACCCAACCTCATCTACTAAGACTTGTCTGTAGGCTTTAGTGAAAGAGTCCACTGCAACCAAAGACGAGGCGAACACGTTGTTTGCCGCCAAAAAGTACCAAGATGCTTTGGAGAAATACGACGATGCAATCAACTCCTGTCCTAAATACCTACATTATCCACGCGCAGTCATCTACAGTAACATTGCCGCCTGCCATATCCAACTTGAAGACTGGAAAGAGGCCATAAAGTCAGCTTCTGGTTCTCTAGAAGCCCTGGAGAAGCTTGAGCAAAGCGACCCTCGACTGAGTCCTGAGGGCAAAAAGTCTGATGAAAAGAAAGAGAAGAAGGAAGACGATGATGATGTCGAAGAGGAGATAATCAGCAGTGGTGCTTCACGTGCCGCACCGATTCCCAGTACCGATGATGAGGAGCTCAAGACACTTCAAGCCAATATCCAGCGCATTCGATGCAAGGCTCTTATGCGAAGGGCTCGCGGTCGTTCAGAGGCTGGCGGGTGGCATAATCTTGCCGGCGCAGAAGAAGACTGTAAAGCCCTCGCCGCAAAGCCTGAAAGCTTGGCTCCAGCAGACCTTCGAGTAGTTCGGAAGCAATTACGAGACTTACCTCCCCGCGTCAAAGCAGCACAAGAGAAGGAAATGGGCGAGATGTGGGGTAAGCTGAAAGACCTTGGAAATGGCATCTTGAAGCCATTTGGATTGAGCACAAACAACTTCCAGATGGTCAAGGACGAGAAGACCGGAGGCTACAGTATGAATTTCCAGCCTGGAGGAAGCTCTTAAACGGCACATCCTGCCCTTTGAAGGTATCAGAGAATCTGCCCTGACACTCTATTGAACCGACGAAAACTCCAATTCCTGCAATATAGAGAAAAGCAATAGATATCCCAACGCCGTCTATTTTACCCTTTTTTTTCGCCATGAATATCTCTTTTTCCAGCTTTTGGCATGACAGGGCTTTCCTTGTCAACTAGGTACGTACGTACTGGGAGCATTTGAGTCATTACGATGGTGGTGGATCGAACGAGCTCGATCGACTTGGTGGTTCATACCAATTCTGGTACGGATGGTTGGGTAGCTTGAAATCGGCGAAGCTCAATGGGTTGACCGGTGTTTTCGTTCCCACAGGGCCCATGACAGGCGGTGTCAAAATTCTCGACGGTGTCAAAGACATGGAGGCTCTTCGGACCACTGATATTACCGAATCCTGGCTGTTCTCTGTTTTCGGGCTCGAGGTGGGCATCTTCATACGCTCCCAACCCCATTCTTTCTTGAGCTCCATCTCGACGGCACCCAAGCGCCAGCCATTTGTGCTATTGAACCTGTCAAGGACCTCAAGGATCTCGTCTTGTTCATTTGGATTCGTTAGCACAGCAGCTGCAATTGCCAAGCAACGGATCGCAACTGTGGCAACCCCCTTGTCTGTGGTATGGGCGACAATGCCGCAGACCTGATAGGCATGCTGCAGCTGCAAGAATCGTAGCCTCTCCGAAGACGCTGGGGATTCCAGGGGGTGTGTCTGTGAAAGGATGCAATGCGCAGTGTGAGAAAGCAGTTGGCCTACTGTTGCCTCCCGCTGAATCATCCTAAGCACGGATTAATCACATGCTTTAGCAGTTGGGATGATATTTCACGTACCATATACCGGGAAATAGCGATTTGCTTGTCGACTTTTCCGCTTTCACATAGCCAAAGGGGCGCATCTTTCTCGGGCAATGGATGTTCCAACCTTCACAGAGGTTTCTAAGCTCATGCCACTGAGAAAGACGATTTCTGACCCACGTTTGTTCGTTATGGGGGCCCATGTCATCGGGTCGGGACGCAGTCGCTCGGAAGTTCGCAACCTTTGCGATGATGTAGAGCGCACGGTGTACCCATATTTGCTCGTCCTCATCCTCGTCATCCTGGTTATTGTTACGAGACCCAAGGCTCATTCCCCATTCGTCGGGACTCCACGTTGTCTGCCAATTTGTTGCCAGGCAATTGAGAACTTCAATCCCAATGTTCAACCAGAAGCAGGCCAGTCCAATCCCTGTACTCTTGGCATCCCATCCACATTCTCGCACAAGAGCTCGCGAACCTGCTATGTGACTCATACGCTGGGCAGGCTTTTCGCACATAATCTCGTATACGTTCAGAACGATCGCTGTCGTGGCACACTCGGCAGTATTTCGATCAGGGTTCTGGAGGCTTCGAAGGAGCTGCGTGGTCGCGGTATTGTAGTAGAACAGCGCTTTTTCATGATTATCCGGGGCAGCCAGAGAAGTATGTTTGACACCACATGCCAGAAGGGCATTGAGGAGCATTGTCGACCTCAGAGCGTGATACGGAATACTTCGGGTGAAATGTTTCTCCCGGTTGAACGAATCCATCCAAACAGCAACTTCTTCGACAAAGACTTGCATGTAATGGATTTCTTCGGCTGATGTCAATATGTTGCGGCCCACCGACTCGTTGCTTTGGGTTGCTGAAGGTTGCACATGGTCATCCTCGAAGGCTTGTTCAACAAGCGGCCTTTCAATCCGAGGCGGTGTGTCTAGCTGGGGTATCACCAAGTTTTCCGGCTCTTCTGATAACGTTTGCTGTGCCAGAGGACGGTTCCTCATCGCCATGAGCTGCTCTGGAAATACTTCTGCTCGTGGGGTCACAACAGCCTTTGTTGATGACGATGGTGTGGCTATATGGGACGCGTCGCTCAGAGTCCCATGTTCGTTCTCGTTAAGCTCAAGCTTGATACCGGTGTCTGTTTTGAATCTTGAGTTTTTTGAAGGTCCAGCTGCGGCGTTATCCTGAGAATAGTTGAAACGGTGTTGCACGCCAGGTTGAAGTCTATCGGCTGATGCATCTATACCTTGGATATGAGTTGCGGTGGCTGGATACACTGTTTCGTGCAGGCCATCGCTATCTTCAACAATTTCAGAAGCGTACGGCGCATATCGTCCAAGTCCGCCCTGATATTCTGAAGCAATGTCCCGCGATTCATCTTGGAACTCGACTACGACTCGGTTAGCACAAGTCATTCATCTCAGCCGGACTCCATACCTTCCCAGCCTCCAGGACTAGGTATATCGGGTGGTCGATGGAGGTTGACATCCAGAAAGTTAAGGCGTACTCCTCTTTTACATTCACGGCCTCGCTTTCGGCAGTTCATGCAATCGGGCACGGCTTCGTCACACTTGAGGTGTCTCTCACGGCATGTAAGACATCCTGTTCGGACTCTTTTTCCTTTGACTGGAGTCGGATTTGACGTCGGCATGGGACTTTGAAGAGTCATCTCTCTGGGATTTTCCATGGATAGACCTGTAGGGTCTTGGCTGATGTTCGGGGGTTCGGAGATCGGTGTCGCCCCCATATGCGAATGCCGCTGAACTTCAAAATCGAACATCTCAAAGTCGAGGTTGTTGTCGGTCGCATAGGGTCCCGGTGAATAACCTTGCCATTCCGCAGGGAACGGCATTGTCTGCCTTTCATTGGAGTCATCATTTTGCATCGCCGCACTGAAACTGACACCAAGAACGGCGATGTCATTGGGGCTTGTTTGAGCAGACACTATAACCTACCTGGCTCTCTACAGGAGGCCAGGGCAGTGGTGTGGAATTTCCTGCTCAGAATGCTGAAGTAGACGGGACAGCTTTGGAGCTTTGGTGTTGCAGAATGAATGCTTTTGCTGTTACATTTGAGGCCAGATGATCGGCCACCTACAGGTCGAAAGATTCTAGAAGATCGAACGGAAGCATGGAATGAAATCATTGCTTGGGCCAGGCCACGGCTTCTGGTCCGGTTTCCCTACCCCGGGCTCGGTATAGAAAACCGTCGCAGGTTCGGGATTGTCGTTGTGGCTCCACAGTCGGAGTAGGAACTAGGAGCGATAAGGCGGGGTGTAGTAATGAACGACCATGAACAAGAGAATGAACCGGACGGGACTCGATGAATATAAATTCAAGAGTGTATCGGTGTCTGTCAGCATTGGGCGTCTGAGCTTCTCTAACAGTTGAATGTGCCCGCCAGATTCCGAGCGCTGCATCACGGTTATATGGCGAATCACCATGGCCTTAACCAAGGTACGCAAGCCAATAATCACGGAGCGTACTCCGGCTGTCGTGCGAGTACAAGTAGCCTCTTCTCTCGGCTGTGATTCGGAGAGCAGGCTGACTGGTACTGAGACCATTACACCGGATGGCGTCTGTGTTCAATTTCAGTTCTGTCCTGTCTTATTATTAAGAACAGAAAGGAGCATGCGTTAAAAGAGGCATGATGATGCCGGACGCTACAAGATTCAGGTGTCCGGCCATATGGCTCAACCTGCATGACAGATGCATGCAAGACTATCCACCAAAGTTGGCGACGGAGCTTATAGGACAACGCTGAAGTCGGTTCCTTGAGGGAATTTGGCTGTCACGTATGACTTGAGTGTTATATGTATGGATTACACATGTGGCGCCCAGGATTGATGAAACTCGGCTTACATGCCAATGCCTGAAATTACCGGAATCTGGAGGAGAGGGATGCTCGTATTAGGATCGAGCATGGCTTCCATCCATCCGCAGGCTTCGCTTATTGAATCGGCTGTCAATGTTGCTCGTGCACCACGATGTCTTTTCCTGCGGCAAGAGTCAGCCCCATCAGACGATGTACGATGTGAGTGAGCTACACGGGTTGAGTGGCACGGGTACGCCCGAAATATACAACAATTTTGGAAATTCGGTTGTAAGTGATAGGTAGGACGAAAGCGATAGCCCAAAATAACTCGGGCTTGACAGCCAATGGTAGCACATAGAAGTACTACCTCAGAAAAGATATTTCCACTATGGAATATAAAACCTTTTTTTTTTTTTTTTTTTTTTTTTTTTCAATCTTAAGTTATGTGTCTAGATTGTAGAAACCTAACGTTAGTAGACTACCATGTTGCCCAAGTGTTTAAAAATCCAATCGCTGATCCGTTTGTCCGTACCGATCAGCCAT